CAGTGGCTGGTTTGATGCATATTGGACTGAAGCAAAGAGGGGAACAAATAGCTGACACAGTGTTCTGGCCCCTGCTGTGGTCAGTTTGGCCACTGATGTCCAATTAGAGGCTGAAGTTCAAATTAGAAATTTGAAAGAAGAGCTGAGTTAGAGTAGAACATGTGGCTTTCCACTACTCTGCTAGCTTTGGGTCTAATAGATAAGATGGGAGAATAGAATTATAATATAAATTGGAGACCTTAGCATGCTGTTTTGCAAAGGTAGGAGGGTGCAAGTTGCCTTGGATTAAGTTCCAAGCGCTTTGACAAAGCCCAATTAGAACCCTAAGAGGTGGAATCCCTGGGGGATTTAGGAGAGCAAAGAGAAGGATGTTGTGATAATTGACAGTGAAATAGATGAAATTTCATGGGACCATGCCATCCAACTCCTAATACAAAGGAAAGTAGGGGCGCCTGGGTGGCTTGGTTGGAGGTCCAACTTCAGTTCAGGTCATGATCTCACAGTTCGTGGATTCGAGCCCTGCGCCAGGCTCTGTGCTGACAGCTCAGAGCCTGGAGCCTGCTTGGGACTCTGTGTCTCCCTCTCTCTCTCTCTCTCTCTCTCTCTCTGCCCCTCCCCTACTTATGCTCTATCTCTGTCTCAATAATAAACTTTAAAAAAAAAAAAAAAAAAAAAAGGAAAGCAAAACCACAACAACAACAATGCCACCCAGTGGGGTAGGCCCTAAATCAGGAAATGTTCATGATGAGCTTACTCCTGCTGAGCTTACTGATAATAGATGCCAAATTCCAGTAAAAGGCCAGGGAAAGTATCCAGACATGGTTAGAGGGTTAGTGCAGCTATGGGATGTGGAAGAGCAATGGTACTTCTTTGACCAGGCAGGAACATCACCACACTCTCTGTCCTCTGGCAGCACCCACACTGCATTTGGGGGGTTCAAGATACTCATTCCCTTATAGTTTGCATTATTCTAGCCTTCAGGGAGGTTGAGTCCAATGAAGGGGTTCTCCCTGGGCATGTAGGACCCTGGAAATCTATAGAGAATGTACAAAAATTCTTAGGGAGTTGGGAATGAGACAGACCATCTATGCCCTGATGTTTCAAGGCCCTGATTAGGTCACATTCACTGTAGAAATGAAAGTGAGACACTACAGTCCACACCCATCACATAGTATGGAATAGATGTCCTGAGCCAGTCATGGGCAAGCATACATAATGTTGGGAAATCCATGATTCATCTGGGGTAATTTCACAAATCCTAGGAATGGGTACAGGCTATTGGAAAGATCCAACACAGAGAGGGAACTTGAAAATCGAAAAGGCTATTCCAATTGTGTGTAAAGGGTCCAATAAAAGTCACGTAGAAGCATATGTGGCTTGACCTCACTGTTGCCATGACCTCACCTACAAAGATAGACCAGTATCGCAACACTATGCTGGGTGGCCTGTGTAAAGCCTTAAAACCTTAACAACAGTTAAGACCTTTCTCACCTGCCCCTACCCTCTCTGATGCCCCTCCTGTTTCAGTAAAGACCTCAGGAATACAGTCCTACTCAGGGTAGGTGCCTCCCATGCCCTGACTATATAATTTAAGCCAAGACTGCCTGCAGGAGAGGGCCACTGGAGGTGACCAGACATCAGGTTGAGTTCAATATTCACTGGTTCCCCAGAAATAAACAAAAGATGATGACTCTAGATGATACTAGCCCTCAAAAGTTTTCTGGCCTCCTCAGTGCCACCAATGGTTATACAGGACAAATAGTTATGGTCAAGAAGGTCTTTTTGACATTGCTAACTGGGCATTCTTTTCCATGAGAATATGAGATTTTTATCTCTCCAATACCAAGAAACATACTTAACGCTGATATCCTATAAAGTCATGCTCTACAAACTTTGATTGGTAAATTCCACAAGTGCTGGGGGAAACACTAACGAGAAGCTGCCAAACCTGCCCCCCCCCAAGGAAGAGTGGTAACTGTCACACAATATAAATTGCCCAGGGGCACAATGAAATAGGAGAAATATCCAAGAGCTGCACCAGCTGGGTATCGTACACTCTGCCCATATTGTTTCCAACAGCCCAGTTTGGCTGGTAAAAAAGTCACATGGCTCATGATAGATGATATCTATCAAGAACTGATATGAAGTTCTATGAAGCTGTGCCTGACATTGCCACCATCTTAGATACCTTGACCACAGTCCTAGAAATGTACCATACTCTGCTAGATTTAGTCAATACTTTTTTTTAAATATATCCCTGGCTGCTAAGTCACAAGATCAATTTAACTTGATGTGGGAGGAGCATCATGGATCTTTCAAGTGCTTCCTCTGGGTTACCTGCATAAACCCACAGTATGTAATGGGATAGTAACCCATGTTCTCCTTCCACACATCAGTAAAATGGGCTCATTACATTGATGATATAATGATAACATGTGAAGACTTGCTTCTGCTGCAGGACACTCTACAGCCTTTGCTGGGACATCTGCAAGGGAGATGACAGGCAGTGAACCCCCAGAAAATTCAAGGTTTAGGTACCGCCATAAAGTTTTTGGGAGTTGTTTGGTCAGGTAAGAAATGTGTTGTTCCAGACGCCATAATTGATTAGGTGTAAGCCTACCCAGAAACTATAATTGATTAGGCGCAAGCCTAAGAGTATGAAAGAGGTGCAAGTATTTGTTGGGTTTGGGGGTTTTAGAGGACTTTTATTGCCTACCTAGCATTGTGCCTTTATCACTTATATTGCTGAATAAATAAAGGGCAAGTGTGGGGCTGGGGATCAGAGCAGCAAGTCACCTTTGAGCAGTCAAAAATACTGGTGAAGTAGATTAAAGCTCTGGCCGTCTCCAAAGCAGGGCTACCATTTCAGTTAGATGTGTCTGTGACTCTGGAAGTAATGGTGCTGGACACAGTGGCAGAGACAAAGTGAGCCATGACTCACTCTCACTTTGACTAAGTGGCATGCCTATTTGCAACAGAGGAGTATCCTGTTTTCCAAACCACTGGCTCTAGAAATGTAGATGCTACTAGGCCCTGCAGAGTGGGTAGATACTCCAAATGCCCCCACCCCTATTCTGTGGTGGCCATTGTGTCCTGCAGAGAGGGACTGGGGGAAATTCCCATTGATGCCTGGAATACAGATGAATCTGGTCAGGACAATCTGCCCACAAGGACTGTAGTCACTATTCACCTCAACACTGACACCATCTGAATGGAAACAATTATGAACCACAGAAGCTAGTGACCTGAACTAAGAAAAGTTTGGCTGGAGGTGCTTGGGTGTCTCAGTCAGTTAAGTGTCCAATTCTTAATCTCAGCTCAGGTCTTGATCTCAGGGTTGGCAGTTCAAGCCCTGCATTGGGCTCTGCACTGGGCTTAGCTTCCACTTGGGTGGTTGAACCATTGCACTCTGGGTTTACCTTGGGCACAAAGGGGAATCTGCCTCATGGTAACCATTGCCAACCTCCCTCTCCTCAATGGCAGATGAGCACATCCTGTTTCCACTGGTACAGTCATCCAGGACACCACCTTTATCCCCTCCATTGGCATGGAGGATGTTATAGCGTACATAGAAGCCCTTACTACATTCGCCAAGCAAGGCTTGAATGACAGCTGATAAAGCCAGTCTCTCCTGAACACTGGAAATGTGTCTAAGGAGACAAGCTGTCCTCCAAAATAGGGGGGCCTTGGACATTATCACTACCTTGCAAGGAAGCAACTGTGTTGTCATTCAAAGAGAATGTTGTGTGTTCACACCCATGAGTCAGCTAATGTATTATCTTTATTAAATCACATTAGTCAATAATTGAATGCCCTGAATGATCCAACTCTCAGCCTAGGGGACTTAATAAATTAGTGGTTTAGATCTTGGAGCTCCTGGGGAAAAAAATGTTATTTATTTTGGGCATCATTATTTTAACCTGTGTTTTCTCTTGCATATGCCTGTACTGTCGGTGTAGCATCTGCTTCCAATACAGCCAGAAAGCTGCCAAACAAGCAACTTCTATGCCAGTGAAAGCCCTTGCTGACCTCTCAGGGCACAGAGTGGAAGGGGAATGAGGTGTGTGTAAGATTATAAGAGCTCCTCAAGAGGGTGGATTGTTGGAGGACATTATCAAGAGGACATGACCAACATTTGACCCACAGGCTGGACCCAGGAAATTGGAAGTTCTACACCCCTTCCCTTGTCCTTGGAACATGCATTCCACTTGCTTTATCCATACTAGATGCTGTTTCAAAGAAATATCGTTAAGATAGTAATGTGTTGTTGAGAGCATCTACACTGTATACCTGATTGAACCCAGTGAAGGCCTCTATATAAACTTAAAATTCTGGTAGGCTGGGGTAGAGATCTACTTATCTTGCAAATGCCTAACAAGCCTCCCAAGGAAGTTTCCTTGCTTATTAGAATTGCCACCTACCAATCTGGAGTGGTCTGCCTCTTTCTTCAGTCTCTTCTTGTCCTCCATGTATGGGGCCAATTTCAGATTTCACCTGGAAACTCCTGAGGGTGCAAGCCAACATCAGCCAGCCAACAATTCTGGGCACATCAGTTGGTGGTGTCCATAGTGAGCCAGTTCCCTCTCTTGGAATCCATTCTGGAGGGGGCTGGGGCTGCCTGGTGGGTTCAGAGTTTCAGCAGGGCCAGCTGACCCGTCTTTGCCCGGTGGGTGACCTGTTGCCAGGGTCTGCATTTGGATAAGGATCAGGGTTGGGGTCTCAGGGTCCACAATTGGGCAGGATACACTGCCACGGCCCTGCAGTTCGTCAGGGCTGTTTTGCTCAGCTCTGAGTTCTGGTGAGGACACCGCCAGTAAATCGCTGAGGTCACCTGAAGCGGCTGGCTGGGCTCAATTGTCAGGCAAGACCGCTAACTGGGCTCTGTAAAGCTACGGTTCTCCGCGGGGCTTTCTGGGTGGGCGTGGCCAGGAGCAGGGCTTTACGTCGACGTTGACGTGAGTGGCGCTCAGGGTTCAGGAAGCCACTTGCAGGGCTTCGCGGTGAAGGCGGACTCCAGACAAGCTCCAGCATTGGGCGAAAGCTGTTGGTGAGGCTCTTCAGGGGGATGAGACTGCCAGTGGTGCCGCGCACAGACTGGTAGGTGGGGTTCTGATTGTCAGGTCACTGGCAGGGTCTGCCGTGGAGAAGGGCTCCAGGTGTGGGTTCCGCTGAGGGAGGCCCTGAGGATGAGGCAGAGCAAGCTTGGTGACAGGCTCCTCATCTGTGTGTGGCATTGGGAAAGCTGTGTGATAGAGCAAACCCTTGTGCTCTGTGGTTGGCTCGAAGGGCGAGGGGCCAGCATCACTGAGATTCCAGGGACTGGTCACAGAAAACCCCGACCATTTTCCTCATTCCTCACTGTCCGCAGATGGTCTAAACGTGCCGGACCCCACGTTGTTCACACTTGAATCAGAAGTGGGCTTCTCTGTCAGTGTCGGAGAAGTCCATGGAGTTGGACTCCCTCTAGGTCTCTCCCTCACAGGAGGAAATGTGGGCGGGGACTTTCTCAGCGCTGTGCTAATACACTTCCGGGAGGGGTGTGGCGGTAAAAGCGGCACTGCTTTTCTTATCCTTTTAATGCAGTGTTTCTCGGGTCTTTTGTTTGTCTTGTTTGGCAGGTGAACTGTAACGTTTCGCCTGTGTTCCAGAAGTCTCCCAAAGCCCCATAGAGAGTTGCTTAATGGGAGTTTCTGTGGGAGGGACTAGAGCAGGGCACCTCTCCTTCCACCATTTTGCCAAGTTAATTTCAGTTTCCTTTTATCCTTGTGATTGCATCTTGTTTTAATGGTAAATTGACGCGGGACAAAGTTGTATGCTTGTTATAAGAAGGCTATGAAGGCTCACACACGTGTTGTGTGTTTCTATAATGTCATGTTTATTCAGTCATAAAGCAAGGTTAACAATGCAGGTTCAGGATCCCGAAATCAACGATATTTCACCACACGTTTAATTTGGTTTCTCCCACCTCCCGCAAAGCGAGGCACAAGACAAGTCACACAAATAAGATAGAAAGGGAGGCGGGTAGGAAGTTAAGGAGCTAAACTAGAAGTCAGTCTGCGGGTGCACAGTTGAAATAAGGCCTGGGTCTGGGGTCCGGGTGATCTCTCTGGGCATTTACTGCTTGCAATGTTCAAGCAGTGAAGGATCTCTTTTCTTTTCAGAGATGAGGCAGAGTCTTCAGAGATTTCAGAGTCTTCAGAGACTACTTTTTGAAGTAGACAGACTTAGAAGGGTAAGTGTCTGAGGAGTCTGACAGTTTGCTGCACAAATCCTCTCTTTTAAAGGATTTAATCAGGGGCGCCTGGGTGGCGCAGTCGGTTAAGCGTCCGACTTCAGCCAGGTCACGATCTCGCGGTCCGTGAGTTCGAGCCCCGCGTCGGGCTCTGGGCTGATGGCTCAGAGCCTGGAGCCTGTTTCCGATTCTGTGTCTCCCTCTCTCTCTGCCCCTCCCCCGTTCATGCTCTGTCTCTCTCTGTCCCAAAAATAAATAAATGTTGAAAAAAAAATTTTAAAGGATTTAATCAGTCTTGGGCCTTTTCAGACCTCCTGTGTTTCTGCTGGTTAACAGTTCAGACTGTGTCATCATCTGGTGTTGATCTTGGGGATATCTGGTAGTTGCAATGCCCGTAATTCTTGCATCATTGCTTGACACAGGTCCCTGCTTGACATGAGTGACTCCATCTTGCTCTCTGTAATGTTTCTGGTTCCTAGTAATTTTATGTTACTCACAGGGACTTGGTAAGCCTGGCTTTTTCAGATACAACACTATTGGTATTTAAGGCTACGATATTGTTTGTTGCGGGGTTTGCCATGTGCACATTGTGATGTTTAGTACCCGTATGATACCAGAGGCATATATACAAAATATATAAAATACATATATATATATATATGTATATATATAGAATACCAAATACAAAAATATAGTTGTAGGGGAAATTCAAATGCAGTGTTTTTAAAAGAATTTTTATATGTAATTTAGTATGCTTTTGTCAGGAAAATCACACACTTGAAAAATTGAATAGTAATCTAGTGGTACCACTGTAAAGAAATATATGTAATTATATTTATATGGAGAGTCTCACCTAATTTTTTAAAGAAGTTTCAGTATTTGCTTTTTATAGGTAAAATGCACAAGGAATCATTAGTGGAATTCTAAACTCCAATGTATTCTTCATAAATAGCCCAGTGTTCTTTTCACAACCTAAATCACATTATACGATAGCGCCCTCAGCCCACATTTCCCCACCCTACCCCAACCACTAGCTTTATGTTCTGGGAGTTTTCCATTCAGAGTAAACTCTATGGTTCCTGCTCTGACACATAATAGTCTGAGGCAGCCTATGATGCCAGTCAAATCCCATGATGCTCCACCACCTGTGCCCTAGTAGCCAATGTCAACCAGGACTGCTTCTCATTCGACAAATATACCAAACCCTTTCCAGGATTAAGGCCATTGAACAGGCTATGCTCTTATGGAGCTGTGGCTCTAAATCATCCTGGATGGCTCACCTTAAATATCATCTCACTTAAGCCTTCTGTGATAACTTTGAAGTCCCCCTCACACCATTCTCTGTAACAGCTTTTGGTAACTTTCTTCCACCCGAACTTTACATTTGGTGTTTTTTGTACATTTGTCATTTATTTGGTTTTTAAACCATTGCCTCCTTTCCCACCCCATTTCAGAAGACAGATTATATCTATTCTATCATATACATGGAATATAGAATAGCTAGGCATGTATCGACTTTTATAAATGTTTGTCAGGTGCATTTTATTTATTTATTTTTATTTTTTATTAAAAAAATTTTTTTAATGTTTATTTATTTTTGAAGGAGAGAGAGAGAGAGAGAGAGAGAGAGAGAGAGAGGGAGAGAGGCAGAGAGGGAAGGAGACACAGAATCTGAAGCAGGCTCCAGGCTCTGAGCTGTCAGCACAGAGCCCGACGCAGGGCTTGAACTCACAAACTGCGAGATCATGACCTGAGCTGAAGTCGGACGCTCACCCTACCGAGCCACCCAGGCGCCCCTGTCAGGTGCATTTTAAAAATTCAGTGTTTGGGTGCCTGGGTGGCTCAGGTGGTTAAACATCTGACTTTGGCTCAGGTAATGAACTCACAGTATGTGTTGGGCTCTGTTGACAGCACAGAGCCTGGAGCCTGCTTCAGATTCTGTGTCTCCCTCTTTTTCTGCCCCTCCCCACTCATTCTCTGTCTGTCTGTCTCTCTCTCTCTCTCTCTCTCTCTCTCAAAACTAAATAAACATTAAAAAAAATTTTTAATGCAGTGTTGAGAGATGATATCTCCTAAATATCATTATCTCTGTATGTTAACTAATTAATTATGTGATTTAGTTACAACTTAATAAATCATTTAAAAGTTTATAAAAGAATGCTGTGTGTTCAGTGTAAGTACTTTATTTTTATTTTTATTTTTTTTTAAATTAGGCAACAGCTAGGGCACCTGGGTGGCTCAATTGGGTAAGCGTCTGACTTGTGATTTCAATTCAGGTCATGATCTCACGATTTGTGAGATTGAGCCCTGTGTTGGGTTCTGAGCTGACAGTGCAGAGCCTGCTTGGGATTCTTTCTCTCCCTCTCTCTCTCTCTCTCTGCTCTTCTCCACTCACATACTCTCTCTATCTCTCAAAATAAATACATAAACTTAAATAAAATTAGGTAATAATTACATAAGGAGAAATGTATGTCTTTTTGCTTTTTTTGCAGAGTGATGTTTAAGCCATTTAAATGAGATTTTAAGAGACTTCACAGTATTAAAACCAAGATTTTTTTTCTTTCTTTTTTAACTGAGAAACTATATTAAATGAAGTATCAATATACAATAATCTATTAAAATAGGACTGAAATAACTATAAAAACTTGCTATGGTAACTCTGAACAATTTTGAAGAAGCAATAAAAACCCTTTAGCTTACTTTTGATTGAAATAGGTGGGAAATGCAGAAAATTGAATGAAGTGTAGATTTTCTTATCTGTACATTGGAAATGAGAATTTCTATGAATATAAAACTAAAATACAAATACATTTTTTATTTGGTGTAGAAATGCATTTCATTGACAACTTCATACTTGAAACATTATTTCTTTTAGAAGCATTTATTTCTTTTTTTTTTTTCTGAGCAAATACTGAATACTGTTGGAATAAAACAAACATTCACAGAGCAACCTGAATAAAATCATCTATTCTTTGAAATGTTACTTTATTTATTCAAGCAAATTTTCCTTGCCTTCTCTTATAATTGGGAGTTTACTCTTATATTTCCTGTATTTCCTAGTATAACAAAGGTACTTTCCCTTAGTGTGTGATATTTGCATGAATATACTTTATACTGGCACCAAAATTCTGACTTTAATTATGAAATAAAAGCCTCAAAATCTCTATGTTTTGATGTATAAAATTAATTGGAAATTCTTTTTGTTTTGTTTTGCTTTTAAGCCGTATACTAAAAACATGAACAGCAAAAGAGTGACTGTGCCCATAAAGACAAATGACTTATAAACTGTTTTTATATTTAACTCCAATATATCCTGAAACTCAAAAGAATTAATATACATTAAGCTATGATTCTTATATTAAACTCTCACTAGGTCCTCCTCTCCACAGATTCTGACTAATAAATTGTATTAATATGGTCAGTAGTCTTCTTTCTAGTTTTTACTTATTATTATTTTAATTTTTTTCTGCCTTCTATATGTATCAGGGCTATTCTTTTCAGTCTTTACTTGTTCAGTAATTCCACATTTAATATATTGAAGGTATTTGCATATAAATTGCAATAAATCTGTTCCTAACCATCTTTCTTTATCTAGTATCCTAAGGCAGCTGGTTATCTCACTGGCAATCTTCTTATCAAGCCATTAAACCAATCACTGTGGGCATGATCCTCTGTTTTACCTTAGATTTTTTTCACTGTCCTGTATCTGATTTAATAGGGACCATTCTTCTAACTTCTTATACATATAGTATCCATTCTAGTTGATTTACAAAACTATCTCAATTTAATTATCATCTGATTCTATCATTGGTCATTATTGGCCTATATTCATTAACATATTTTAGATTGAAAGTGAAATAATTCT